TGTAGTGTAGTGCCTCCCATCAGACACTAGAGGGCAGCAGGCACCGTTCCTTCCTGCTTCGCCCTTCCCTAAACGCTGTAGTTTCTATATTCAATTTTTCTTGTTTTGACGTGCTGTGAACCGCCTGTAGGGCTTGGCGGGCAAAGCCCATCAAATTTAAGGAGAAGAGACCGTGCCCAGCGGCCTTCCTCCTTCCAGGCACCCACTTACGTTGCAGCCGGATTTGATGTCTCCCCCAGCGCAGACCATGCTAGGTTTGACGGAGCCTCCCCACCAGTCAGGCTTCCTGCAGTGGTTGTAGTCCACCACGGGCAGGAGAGCCTGCTGCAGCTTGGCCGGCAGAGGCCCCCCAGCTGTGGAGAGAAACAGAGTCAGGGCTTCCAGCCCGGCCTCCCTGGAGCCCCCCTAGCCCTCCTCCCCACCTGCGGAGAGGACCCCACGTACTGGAAATACGTCCCCAGCCGGTGATGTAACAAGGGTATCCATTGGGCAGGACGGTGTTTGGCTCGGGAATGCAGCCCAGTCTGACTTTGTCGTTCAGTTGTGGCCGGCGGGAGAGTTTGAGCAGTGCGATGTCATTGCTGGAACAGGAGAAGGAGGCAGCCATGAGCGGCTAGGGCAGAGGTGGGCCTTCAGCCGGTTCTGACCGGTTCTAGAGACCCGGTAGCGAAATTTTGAGTCGTTGGGAGAACCGGCAAAAGCACCACCTCTTGACTGGCTCCGCCAACCCCGTCTCTCTTCCCTGCCTCCCATCGAGTAACCCAGCTGATCGGCTGGGTCTCCTTGGGTTGCCCTGGCCAGGAGAACGGAGCTGGAAAGCAGGTTAGGGGTGGGTGTGGAGAGAACGGGGATTTTGCAGTAGATCCTTCCCCTGCCACGCCCGCCGAGCCACGCCCACCGAACTGGTAGGAAAAAGTTGTTTTGAATCCCACCACTGGGGTTGGGGGATGCTGGAGGCTTTCCTTCTGCACCCACCCCCCCACCCCCCCATGACGGACGCCTTCGCCTACCCGCAGGCCACACAGCTGGGGTTCCAGTTGGGATTCACGAAGATGTCTTTGGAGTTGATGGGCACGTGCTGCTCAGGGGCTTCCTTGACTTTGAGGTTGTACTCCCCCAGCACCACCTTATACCTGCGGGATCGCCTGTGGAAGAAATCGCCCAGCGGCTTTCAGAGGGCAGGAAAAGGCCCCCACCCACACCCACACCCTCCGCAGTCCAGAGGGGTGGGTGAATTCGTGCCCTTCTTTGGAAAAAGAGGCTAAACACCAGGACCAGGGGGTCCCAAAGGTGCTTTTGACCTGGACAAGGGAGAGTCTCTGCCCCCGGGCTCTAACCTCAGCCTGTGGCAAGGCTACAGAGGGTGAAAAGAAGAAAAAGTGACCCTAAACAAAGGGGGAAGGAGGGAAGGAAGGAAGGAAGGAAGGAGGAATGGAACAAAATAGAATGGAATCAGGAGGGAAAGAAATGAGAAGGAGGAGGAGGAAAGGAAGAAGAAAATAGATGGAAATGGGAAGGAAGGAAATCGATGGAAAGAGGGAGGGAGGGAGGAATGGAATCAGAAGAGGGAAAGAAATGAGAAGGAGGAAAGGAAGAAAATGGAAGTAGAAAGGAAGGAAGGAAATAGATGGAAATAGGAAGAAAGGGAGGAAAGGAGGAAAGGAGGAATGGAATCAAAAGAGGGAAAGAAGTGAGAAGAAAGAGGAGAGGAATAAAAATAGATGGAAATAGGAAGGAAGGAAGGGAATGAGAAGAGAAATGAGAAGAAGGAAGGAGGAAAGGAAGAAGAAAATAGAAAAGGGGAGGAAGGAGGGAAGGAATGGAATGGAATGAGGAGAGAAAGAAATGAGAAGAAGGAAGGAAGAAGAAAATAGATGGAAATAGGAAGGAAGGAAGGAAGGAAAGGGAGAGGGGAGGCTCTCCATTCAAAGCCCCTCTGGACTCCAGAGTGAAGGTGATGCTCCAGCCGTGCCCCGGACACTTACGAGATGCAGTGGGCAGCTGTCATGACCCAGTCGGGGGCGATGAGGGACCCTCCGCAGGTGTGATGGAAGGCGCCATTTTGCTCGTACTGGAGGGAGACCTGCGGGAGGACAGAGAGGGGAGGTCCAGACATCACCCTAAAAAGGACACCCGGTGCCAGCCGGCTCCGTGCTCAGGCCGGGCTTTTTTTGGATGGCAGCCCAATTGCCAGCTAGCCGGTCCGGTCCGGCCCATTTGGCTCCTTGCCTGGGATGGCCGCCCCTGGGGTGCTGGTTGAGGGCGTCTGACGGGGGAGGAGTGAGCCGCCTTACCTGCCAGGGCCAGCTGTAAGGCACAGTGTCTTCGCCGTTCACCACGCGGCTGTGGGCAGGGTAGGCTGGCTGCCCGCACCCAGCGGCTGCGGAAGAGAAGAGAGGGGGCTGAGACCCCGCCGGTGGAGGCCAGGCAAGACAAGGGCAAGGGCCTAGGAGACCAGGGGGGGGGGGGCGGGGGGGGGGGGGGGGGAAGGGATGCCTCTTTACCACTGGCCACCAACAGGACGCAAATCAGCAGCGGCAGCATCTTCTCCCGGGTGACTTTCAGCCCATCCTGAGCCTTAAATACCCACCTGCGGTGCCACAGGGACCTTGGCCACAGGTGCGGTGGTGCCCACGGCCCTGGCGGGGGCCACCCAAGGCCTGGAAAGCTGGCCTGCTCCCCAAGGAAAGCAACAGCTGGCCCCTTGGCCGGGCGAGGAGGGCCTGGAAGCTGCCGAGGCCAAGTTGACACGTGGAGGGAGAGATGCTTCCCCCCT